CAGCATCGTTTAGATTCGAAACCCAGAGCGCAAAAGCAAATCCTGCGGCCTTAACCACTCAGCCATCGAAGAGAAACACACGAGGAAATTTGTTGGCCATAAAGTGTTTGAATAAGTATGAGCGCTTTAGTTAAAATTAGAGATTTTTATTCAAACTTTGCTGTTTTAATTATTTTCTAATAGAAAATTATTGTTTCAGTGTGTATTCCTTGGTATTTCTCATTGTTACAAAAATTATTATCGACACCGTCAGTTCGCATGGTAATAACCGATCTTTTATTGTAACATTGGTAACTGCTGCATCGAAGCTAACGCTACCTGCCTTATGGGGGGCCTAATACAGCTGGGGGACGTGAGCTTTCAGCATCAAGAAACTGGCCGCTTTGGCGTTTTATACTTAAAGAGGATATATTCTATATTCTCTGGTAATGGTAGTTTTCATCACATTAGTGCTATCACCACCGGGGCTACTTTTCGGCCCGAGGGACCTGCACATCAGGACCTGAGACACCACTGTACTCCGTAGGCACAGTTTATACAGTTGCGATAGAGATTAGTAGAGAGATTGCTGACTGCAATGCCACGGCTGGAGTTCACTTTTGGCCACTGTTTCGAGCGCCCCGTTGCGGCCAAACGGTCGAACCAGGTGCACATTTTTTTTTATTTGAGAAGCGTGGAGAGGGTATACCCAGTGTGTGCCTACGGATTCGCGTGGACATGGGCATGTAGGCACATACTTTAGGGACGCGTGGAAGAGGTATACTGAATATGTGCCTGCGGAGAGAGGAGTGGTGCATATAAATGCCGACTACAGCTAAATAGCTATATGACCGCGTATATCGTAGTGAAAGCAAGTGGCGAGTCTTTCTCGCTATAGTTACTTCTTAAATAAGGTCTTAGAAATTAAGGGGAAATAGAGATAAAAAAGATTTTACATCTAATACTTATAAAATAAAAAACCTACTCTTTCATTTTACAATTCTTTATGATATTTGAAGGCTTAAGAGAGGCTAGCCATATTATTTTTCGAAAATTGAATCATACAAATAAATGCTTACACAATTGTGAGCTCAGACTTTCAAGGCATTTATTTTTTAATTCTTTCTGTACTTTCGATTTTTTTATAGTACTGTGTATCAAAGAAAGTACATTGAAAAAATATTTAGCTTAAAATTTTTTTTGAGGTTGACAGTATGATTATAAGCACCTTAAATATAAATTAATATTTTTAATTATCATAATCGCTATGAACTGTAGGCCAAGCTCCAGAGGGTATCAATAAACATATGGGACTTCAGATTGTACAAGGTCCGAAGTTTGGATAGCTGAGATGGCTAGGGCTTATGCCTCCGATGACATAGTTTTGCAATTTGGGGTTCAATTCCAATTGCCGTCAGATTTTTTTTTTAACGCATTTACAGTGCAAAATTTTATAAGAATTTACACATTTTTTTTTTATTGAAAATAGCAACTAATTTATAACGGTAATAGTTCTTGTTTGTAAGGCTATTCCCTAATTTTATCATACTAAACAAATGATTTTTAAGGATATGAATAAAATTTAAACGTTCTAAAACATTCAAGAAATCATGAAAATCCAGTTTATGAGAGAAAACAGCCGAGGCTAAAAAAAATTTACTTTTATTTTAATACTATCATTAACAACTGTTACCAGTAAATTTCTATGATAGGACTTTTTTCAATTTCAAAATATCGGTGTTGACTATTTTTATGCTGGCAGCACATAGATATTAAAAACATATTAAAATGCTACAATTTTAATTGCACTTACAGTGCTGACAATCTTTTGATTAGTAATAGTGCCTGTTTTGCAATACTTACTGATTAGCATGAATTATTCTAATTGTTTGTATTTGATAGAATTGATCATCAAAATGCACTTTTGGCCTTATCACACAAGGCACTTGAGTCGCTTTTTTAAATTATAGTACTATTGTATATTTGTAGTAGTATACAGTTTTGTTCAATTATATATTCAGTTTTAGAAACTCAGTGATTAATATTTTCATACTGTCAGCACATAAATATTGAAAAACAGTTAACATATTGCACTACTTTTAGAGAAGGTATTAATTCAAATGATTGAAATATTGACTACTAAGATAAATACTTGGTAAATCAATTAAAAATTGGTATGCATATAAATTTTGTACATTGTAAAGATTTATACAACAATTTTCTAATCTGTAATTCTAGTTCAATTCTAAACACGATTTTATTTTATATAGCACAAAATAGCTTATTTTCGATTTTACTTCATTCTGTAAGGTTTTGACAAATT